TATGATGTCATATCATCTGTTATGATGTCATGGTGTATGAATTATGATGTCATATCATCTGTTATGATGTCATGTTGTATGAATTATGATGTCATATCATCTGTTATGATGTCATGTTGTATGAATTATGATGTCATATCATCTGTTATGATGATGTCATGTTGTATAAATTATGATGTCATATCATCTATTGTGATGTCATTACATATCTTGTGATGTCATAACATGATCATTATGATACTATACCTCAGGGCTTCCATTAATGGAAGTTTGGGAGTCATTTACTCCTTGATTTTATGCTTTTCCTTCTTTACATATATAATGAGATTTTGATGTCTCTGACTTCCAAATTTTGAAACTTAATGGAAGCCCTGATACCTATTGTGATGTCATAGCACATTAATTTTGTTGTCATATTATCTATTATAGCATAAAATCGGCTATTTTTGCCTCTTTTGCCCATGTTATAATGGGACCAAAACCATGTGTCAACATTGTAATGGCTCTTGTTATAGCCCAAATTTACCTACGGGCAATACATACAGGGTCAAGTAAACAAACACAAAAATGACGATTTGGCCTGTTTTCTTATATTGAAATTATTGATGTGAGGGCCTCAATCGCATAACGGCGAGTAAATTCAAGTAACTATGTCGGAAAATACGGCAAATAGACATCGCCGCTAATCTTGGTTGTCGCCCTTTCTAAGAAATGGACAGTTGTCAATGTTATGATAATGTAAACAAATAATGTGATTCAGTTTAACGCTCAAATTAACTTAGAAAACACAAAATGAATATGAGAAAATGTTGTTTTATTAATGTTTATATTGATAAATGCTTTTTATATTTCTTTGAGAGAATAATGTTAAGTGCCTGATATTCTTTCATAAACTAAATGTTTGCTTGAAAAAAAAAAATCTGATGTCACTGATCTTTTTTCTACCATCAAACTGAAATCATTTTAAGAATTTCTGAGGATCATGTTTTGTCTTGGCAGAGTAATTTTATGTTGTTTTTTTTCTTGAGTTAATAAATCTCCAATGATAAGCTTTGTTAATCAATTAAAATTCGAATTTTGAATGGTTCTGAGCATTTCCCATGTAGTTGGCCCCGGAAAAATAAAACACATATGTAAAGCATGTAGAATTGGATAAATACCTTCCAAGCTAAAGGATTTAATGTATGTGTTTTGTATTACATATACATCATGAATCTTTTTTAAAATTTTATGATATATTAGCGTCAATGCACGTTTATTTCATGTTATAAAGTCTGCAGAGTCCCTCGGAACTGTTGGAGCCCTTGCCCTACCGGGCTCGGGCACCAACCATTCCTCGGGACTCTGCAGACATTATAACGCGAAAAAACGCGAGTTAACCCTATATTTTGATATCATTGGATTTGAATGAAAGATGTTATTAGTTATAAATGATATCACTACATTTATTTTGAACATGAAGTATTCACCTTCTGATGTCATAATTATTTTCTTTTATGATTTTAGTATATGGATTTTAGTATTTACAATTTAATCTTACTACAAATTTCATCTGCTATGATTGCATAAGTATTTTGTCATTTGAATGTACAGTCCAACCCCGTTTATTCGAAGTGTCTCGGACTGAATATTTACTTCGAATAATCGATGGGTTCGAATAATCGAAATCCGAATATTGTGATAGACGAAAACTACTCCACTTTGACCAATCGTGGCAAAAAATTACCGTTTACAACACACTTACTTCCTGTAATCAATTGAGAAAAATAAATATTAAAGAAGAGATGCGTAAAATTATTGTATAGACATTGAAGACATAAATACTTGCATTTTATTCTACATAATGTATCGTTTTGTTTCGCGCAAAGCCTTGATAATGGCCGTGTTGTCAGTGCGGTATATACAGCTAAACTCTGGTATTTTCGAATAGGAAAAAGGCTCTCATGTAGCGTTACAATTAATATAAAAATTGTTTTGGATGTTTTGACAAATTTACATAAACGTTATGTATGAAAATTATTGCTGTCATCTTCAAGCAATAACAGTAACAAAGTCGGACACGGTGCATTGCTTTTCATTTTCGGTAATTAAAGTTGATTAAAGAACACACAAAGAGTTATTATCATGATTGTCTAAATACACGCATGACTGTTGATGTTTTTCACAAGTCGACCGGTCAGCAAGTGGATCTGCGCCAATTAGTCTGGCTTCGAATAATGATTAAGCTGGCTTCGAATAATAGGTGTGAAATTTTTTCATAATTGTATAATCGGGACCGAAATTTTACTTCGAAAAATAGGAGGTATTCGGATAATGCATTTCGAATAATACGCTCGAATTTATATTGATTTATATAGAGATAAAAACGGGACTGCCGATCTACTTCGGATAATGCCGGGTATTCGAATAAAGGGTTGTCGAATAACCGGGGTCGGACTGTATGTCTCTTTTTATAACATAAACTGCTCATTTCATTTTGTTCTGATGATAAGTATATTTCAGACATCTATAAAAACAGAGATTAAAACATATGAAAGTCAATTTGGAGAAAATTATGACGTTATTTATACTATATACTAAACTCCATTGTAGAGAGTCACAACTATATCTTTTTTCCCCCATAAAAACTTTATCATCATGCAAAATATTCTTTGCAGTATAACATCTTAATATGTATGGTAGTGAATGATTTTTTAGCTCACCTGTCACAAAGTGACATGGTGAGCTTTTGTGATCGCTTTTTGTCCGGCGTCCGGCCGTAAACTATTACTTTCAACAACATCTCCTCATAAACCACTTAGCCAATTTCATCCAGCTTCACAGGAATATTTCTTTGGTAGTCAACTTTAAAAATTGTTCAAAGAATTTAATTCCAAGCAGAACTCTAGTTGCCATGGCAACCAAAAGAAAAAACTTAAAATATCTTCTTTTAGAAAACCACAAGAGCTAGAGCTAAAATATTTGGCATGAAACATCACCTAGACAGTGTCTACCAAGTTTTTTCAAATAAAAGCCCTGGGGTCAAAATTGGCCCCGCTCCGGGGGGTCATTGATTTTCCTTATTTGTATATAGTTAAAACTTTAAAAAAGTCTCTTTTTAAAAACCCCAAATAGCTAGAGCTTAAATATTAAGCATGAAACATCTTCTAGTGCGTGTCTACCAAGTTTGTTCAAATAAAAGCCCTGGGGTCAAAATTGGCCCAGCCCGGGGGGTCATTGTTTTTCCCTTTATGTATATAGTAAAAACTTAAAAAGTCTTCTTTGAAAAAACCCAAAGAGCTAGAGCTTAAATATTTGGCATGAAACATCAACTAGGCAGTGTCTACCAAGTTTTTTCAAATAAAAGCCCTGGGGTTAAAATTGGCTAGGCCCTGGGGGTCATTGATTTTTCTTATTTGTATATAGTAAAAACTTTAAATATTTTCTTTTAGAAAACCGCAAGAGCTAGAGCTTAAATATTTGGCATGAAACATCACCTAGTCAATGTCTACCAAGTTTGTTCAAATAGATGCCCTGGGGTGAAAATTGGCCCGCCCCGAGGCGTCATTGATTTTCCTTATTTGTATATAGTAAAAACTTAAAAAAGCTTCTTTTAAAAAACCAAAAGAGCTAGAGTTTAGATACTAAGCATGAAATATTTTCTAGTTAGTGTTTACCAAGTTTGTTTAAATAAAAGCCCTGGGGTCAAAATTGGCCCCTCGGGGGGTCATTGTTTTTTCCTATATGTATATAGTAAAAACTAAAAAAAAGCTTCTTTTAAAAAACCAAAAGAGCTAGAGTTTACAAACTAAGCATGAAACATCTTCTAGTGCGTGTCTACCAAGTTTATTCAAATAAAAGCCCTGGGGTCAAAATTGGCCCAGCCCCGGGGGTCATTGTTTTTCCCTTTATGTATATAGTAAAAACTTAAAAAGTCTTCTTTGAAAAAACCCAAAGAGCTAGAGCTTAAATATTTGGCATGAAACATCAACTAGGCAGTGTCTACCAAGTTTTTTCAAATAAAAGCCCTGGGGTTAAAATTGGCCAGGCCCTGGGGGGTCATTGATTTTCCTTATTTGTATAAAGTAAAAACTTTAAATATTTTCTTTTAGAAAACCGCAAGAGCTAGAGCTTAAATATTTGGCATGAAACATCACCTAGTCAATGTCTACCAAGTTTGTTCAAATAGATGCCCTGGGGGAAAATTGGCCCGCCCGAGGCGTCATTGATTTTCCTTATTTGTATATAGTAAAAACTTAAAAAAGCTTCTTTTAAAAAACCAAAAGAGCTAGAGTTTAGATACTAAGCATGAAATATTTTCTAGTTAGTGTCTACCAAGTTTGTTTAAATAAAAGCCCTGGGTTCAAAATTGGCCCCTTGGGGGGTCATTGTTTTTTCCTATATGTATATTGTAAAAACTTTAAAAAATCTTCTTTTAAAACTCAAAAGAAATAGAGCTTAGCTATTTATCATGAAACATCTTCTTATGGCTGTCTAAATAAAAGTCCCTGGTTTAAAACTGGCATTGACCCAGGGGCCTATATATAGGTGAGCGATTTCAGGGCCATCATGGCCCTCTTGCATACTTCTATTGTTGTATGAAATTTAATATACTATAGGTATAAAAGTGTGACACACTTCAGCTTCATACGAGTCATTTTCATAATAAGAAATACAAAATATATTACTTTACTAAAAATAACAAAGAAACTGACAATATTTTGATAGCAACTGATTTCAAGAAATAGTACCATTCAGTATATCATTCGGGATATAGCCAAGAAAAAAAGATAGCAGCATCCATGTTGAGACAGTACTTGCAGTTTTCTGCAATGTTTTTGGTTATTTTGCCCTCACTTTAGGGGGAGGGGCATTTAGATTTACCCTTGTCCATCCATCCGTTTGTTCTCTTTTTGTGTCGCACGTAGCTTAAAAAGTAATTGACCTACAGTCAGGAAACCTAACTGGAATGTTGATCAGCATGTGTAGAGAAAAGGTTTATATTTCTTCCATTTCAGCAACAAGATGCACAGATCTGTACAAACGTGAGTCTAGCATGTGGCTGGTGTCATGATGCCAGCAACACAGGTTTAGACAAGTGTATTTGTGGGACGGCATATGACATTGTATTCAAGGACAATAGCACATTAAAATACCAAGCAGATAGATGGTGATTTTATGAAATGTCCATGTAAGTTTGTGACATTTACTTTTGTTTATTTTCGGGCATTTTGATAAGCAATACACTTTTCTCATTACATAAAAGTATGTAACTGGTCAAGTTCAATTATGTGGATTAGCCTGTCCATGAAATCCACAAAATGAATGCCTCATTGATAATGACTTTGCAATACTTGAGTTTACAATTATGGTTTACAACTGTGAGCTATTGTACACACCCAGGCATTGGTGTCACACTTTGGTAAGTTTTTGCATGCAAGTTGGTATCTCCAAAACTACTGAAGGGAATAATTGAAACTTCACACAGTAACTTAAGAGCATAATTATCCAAGGCCCATAACTCTAACTTAGATATTTTGCCAGGATTATGGCCATTTTTTGGCCCATAAGTCTAACTTAGATATTTTGCCAGAATTATGGCCATTTTTTTAACCAATACTCTCAGAATTACTCTTAATTGTTTATTTCTTGAAGGAAGTTTTTGTAACATCAAATATATAATGTTTGTCAGCAACACCTCTCTGCTGACAGCACTTGTTCAAGTTAAAATTAATAAGGCTGTGATATGATTTCAACATATTATGTACTTTATTGCAAAAGAATGTGGCAAAGATATATAAGTTTCTATAATTATAAGTTAGCGAGGGAAACCTGTAATAGCAGGTCTAAAGAAAAGGTTTGTGTTTTTGGTTTACCAGAGCACAAAGTATTGAAGGTACTGCAAAATCATTTAAATTTGAGGGCATAAATTTGGTGGTTTGTGAATGGTAAGATTGTTAATTCGTGGAATTCAGTTGCCAGGTAAAATTAAAAAAATATGAGTCCTTAAATTCCACTTTCAGTAAATTATACCCGGCATTTGTGCCACTTAAATGATAACAAGTGCAAGAGAACATGATCTTGACCTATTCAACAGAAGCTCTGTCTTCTAAATAAGCATGTGTCGTGTATCAATTATATTTTATAATCTGTTGTTTCATTATTAAAAAAAGGTGTGTTAAACTCTCTTCAATAATTTACAGATGTGAAAAATGTCTGTTCTCTTGTGGTCATGTGACCTTGAATTATTTTAGCTACAAGAAATTTGAACGATGGAATGATCTGCATGCACATTTTTGTGTCGCCTCTACGGAGTAGTGGCGACATATAGGGATCACTTCTCCGTCGTCTGTCTGTCCGTCTGTCTGTCTGTCCGTCCGTCCGTCACAAAACTTGTCCGGACTACTCCTCATAAACTACTGGTGCAATTTCATCCAAACTTTACAGGAATGATCAGTACCAAGTCTAGTTGTGCATATTGTCAGGATTTTCCGGTTCAATGATTTTTGTCAGAGTTATGGCCCTTTAATAATTTTTAATTTTAAAGTTTGTCCGGACTACTTCTCTTATACCACTAATGCAATTTCAATGAAACTTTACAGGATTGATCTGTAGCTCAAGTCCTTGCGCATATTGCACGGTTTTCCGGTTGAAGGATTTTTTGGCCGAGTTATGGCCCTTTGATAAAAAGGTTTCTTTTTCTGTGTGTTGCCAGATACACAAAAGCTTGTCCGGACTACTCCTCATAAAAACTACTGGTGCAATTTCATCCAAACTTTACAGGAATGATCAGTACCAAGTCTAGTTGTGCATATTGTCAGCATTTTTCCGGTTCAATGATTTTGTTTGAGTTATGGCCCTTTAATAATTTTTATTTTTAAAGTTTGTCCAGACTACTTCTCTTATACCACTTATGCAATTTCAATGAAACTTTACAGGATTGATCTGTAGCTCAAGTCCTTGCGCATATTGCACGGGTTTTCCGGTTGAATGACTTTTTTGGCTGAGTTTTGGCCCCTTTGATAAAAAGGTGTTTTTTTCTGTGTGTTGCCAGATACGCAAAACCTTGTCCGGACTACTCCTCATAAACTACTGGTGCAATTTTATCCAAACTTTACAGGGATGATCAGTACAAAGTTGTTAGTCTAGTTGTGCACTGTCCGTCTGTCTGTCCGTCTGTCACAAAATTTATCCCAACATGAAATTGGCCATCATGAGGCGACACATGTGATTACTGATCGCTCTTGTTAATGTGTTTGTTTGTCTTTTACAGCACTGTGCTTAAAATTTCAACATCATGACTATAAAAACAATCACTGATGTTTTTATGTCTTATACAAATAATTTGCTTTTTAAGTTACTTGATGTGTTGATATTGTTATTGTGAATGATAAAGCAACATAGAAAGATTAATGTTCTGTACACAGCTATTGTTGTTGTCACCCCTGTACGGAAATAGACCCAACTTGGTGTGGGATAGAATATAGTTTTGAAGAACCCCAATTCAAGTCATCTCTATGGTTTGTTTGGTATTATTCAAAGTGTATTTATTACATCTGTGTAGATTTTTTGTGTTATATGATAAAATCAAAAGTTGTTTTTTGTGTATTCTTCAGGACCTCTTTTCTTGATGGAAAGATTTAAGATGTATTGCCTGCCAGCATCCGGGAATCGTTAAATGGAAATTAGGTAAGAATGCAACAGACAAAACTCTATTAGTCAATTTACTTTCCCAAGAATTTTTTTCCAAAGTATAATGATAGTCTACTCAATATCAGTGAATTAAACAATTCATACAGTATAAACACAATGACTTCTGCAGTAAGTGGTGTGTGGTTTGACAGACATGTGATGCTACGTCACTACTATTTTTTCTACTTTCATTTTGAATGCTTGAAAAATAAAACACGGGTTCACATCTCACCATGAATATTAGATAGTCCTTTTGAAGAATTGCTCAAATGTTTCTGGTCTGTTGAATAAGTAATATCCTAATAAATTGGTGATTAAATATTGTTCATATAGACCATATCATCTGATATATATACGAGGGATGATCATAAATAAACTGGACTTGTGCTGTCACAAACTATTACTTTTATATATCACACTTAATCAGAAAACATTACCTATAAACCGATACTATATCTTATCTGATAACTCAAATAGCTTGTCCGTAACTGCGAATTTCAAAGTCATGGTAACGCACACCCGGCAAAATGCATAAATTTGCACTGATGACAGGCGCTTTATGATTGGTATATTTTACAGAAATACGCCAAAACATCGTGACCTATCTAATAGACGTTGTCAGAATAAATGACTTCATTTATACCATCTTTGCCTTTGCAATCACAATTCAAACGTTACTTGTTAAAGAAATACTTGCATTAAAACTGATGTTGTCAGAATGTCTCAAAAATCAAATAAAATCAAAGTAAGGTTAGAAACTGTCTAAAACGTAGAATATCAAGAGAAAATGTCCTGGAAGCCACATCATAGTTTTCAGTTGGCATAAACAATTAAGAAAGGGTAATGGAGAAATTGTAGACAAGTCAGGCAGAGGCAGAAAGAAGAAATTTTCAAGGATGTTTGTGACATCAATTGCCGAGACGTTGAAAAATTACAGGTGATTGACTGCGGACATATCAACAATGTTTGACAGTAGTTAGGGGACAGTGCAGTCAATTCTAACTAACTAAAGGATTTTAAAATGGGAAATGTAATACATTAACTATTGTGTTCTTGGTTTACAACTGTATAATTATTTTACTACTCTACTTATTTAACATTTTCATCAATAGTCTTATGGTGAAATTTTGTCAACAGTTGAGTGGTCTGATGCCAGAGGGGACTAACCCTTATACTTCTGATTTTCAGAAAATTGCCACTGAAGGTTTCCAAATCCCCCAACAAAATATATTTCAGGGAGACAATATTTTACTGTTACAACATAACATATAGACAAAGAAGAATTGTTTCTCAACTGTTTATTTGATACTGCTTATGTGGCTTTTTTTAAAACCATGATTTTGTGGAATAGTTCATTCTGGCATTTGTGTATAAGTTGCATCACATGTTCATATGCCAAAGTGAACTTATCCAAGCTATTGAAGTTTAAAAAAAACTATAAGAACAATTGAAACTGTACAACATTAATTCAAATCATCTGATTCATCACTGTCCCAGGTATCCCATAATGGCACTTTATTAATCATGTCTATAAATCTTTGAGATCGGAATCCATTTGTCTGACACATATACACTGCTTGAAAATCCAATCCGAATTCAATATGTTGATAAGCTTCATAGAAAACACACCAAGCAGGTTTCTTCCATTTAGGTGAGAATTTTAAAACCTTCAGGTGGCTCTTACAAAGCATTTAAGTGCACTGATCAGGTGATAGATATGTACTTCGTTCAATATTAAGTTCTGTGATATTGACAACTTGTGGTAAGTCAACTACAATAGATTTATTCAACCGAAGAAATTCAAAATTTGACATTTCAAGTTTTTTCAGTCCTGGGTGACTTAATAAATGATGTAATTCTGAAGAATCAATAAAGCTGCATCCACATATTGATGAAATAAAATGCATTTTCATTTTCCGTATTTTCACTCGAAATATTTATGTTTTCATTACAATGAAACATATTTTCCGTATTTTCACTGGTGTCTTGCCAGACTACCTTTTTCCTAAATTCCTTAAAACACAAAATTAAAAGGGAATTCTTTTTAATAATTACAGAAAATTTGAGTTTTCTTCTCAGGGCTGGGAATCAAAACTGCGTCGTATCCTAAAATGTAAACAAACGCCGCCATCTTGGAGCGAAAAATGTATGTTTTTGTTTGTAACTCTTTTTGTTGGAAATGACTGAAAACAAGATATATGTATTAACATGCTACACTATTTTCCGCTTCGTTCGGTATATGTTGCTTGCACAACTATTTTGTAAAACAAAAGTTATAGCGAACTTGCAACTCGAAGCGAGGCAGAATTTTTATGAAAATGTGTGGATACGACGCAGTTCATATTGCTTTATCTATCGTTTTTTCCTTCAAATCAATTATATATTTGTTTCAGAGTTCACCATAAACTTCGAAATATAATTTTGCATCATTTACTAAAACTTTATTAAAAAGAGATAATAAGCGAAAATAGTGTAGCGTGTTAATACATATATCTTGTTTTCATTCATTTCCAACAAAAAGAGTTATAAACAAAAACATACGTTTTTCGTTCCAAGATGGCGGCGTTTGTTTACATTTTGTAGGATACGACGCAGTTTTGATTCCCAGCCCTGTTTCTTTTAATACAGGATAAATTTTCATCTTGTTGTAGAAAAAGAATCATATTTCACTCGTGGCTACAGCCACTCGTGAAATACCACTCGATGAAAATAAATTCTGTATTTGTAGAAAAAAAACTTGAATATCCTTCATATCCCATACAATAATTTAACAAACTTATAGTAATCTGCAGAATTATAATTTTCACAATAACAGATATTATTGATGTAAAACATTTATTTGTGTTCATTAATATTATTTACATGTAGAAGTCTTTCCATTAACCATTTTTTCAATTTTGGTAAAATAATTTTCAATGGGTTTGTTTACAGTACCAAAAGTGAACTAACCCAATAATAAACACCATTCTCTTTGTATTTTGTAAATTTCTATAGTGTACTAACCCATTGTTTTTAGATAAAGCAAAATAAAAGGTTATTAATGCAGGATTTCATGTCTGTACACCTTCATCATAATCGCACCATTATGAATCATCAAGTTTCTTTATATGTAATACTATGTAATTCATTTAAACAAAAATCCCACCTCACCAATTAAAAAACTACTAAATCTTTAATAAATGATACAAAATGGGTTTTACCACTTGGAATATAGTCAGGGTCTTTCACTGAGTCATCACTCTCCTCTTGAAATATTTCTTCAGGAAGAGTTTAAGTTATTTTTGCCATTTTTGCCATTTGCTACATCGAGGCATTTTCTAGTTTCGGCCATTTTGCTTGATAGTTCACTTTGGCACAACAACAAACAAACTTATCAAGCACTATTGGTTCCTGGTTCGCTCTGGCAAACTTGTATGTAAAGACTTACTGTTGAAGTGGGATAATTCACCTGTTTAAATTTTCCCACATTTTTTACTATAGGAAGCTGGGAGCCAGACTAAATAATAGAGATTTTTATGAAGAGTACTCATGGTTAGAGAACTCATTTCTTAAGATTTTGTGGGTTAGTTCTCTTTGGCATAAGACCACACAGTTTTACAGTCACATTCAAATTCAGTTATGCGTTATATTTATTTCAAACTACCAATAATAACAATTTTGTTTTGAGTTGTATTATTCTTTTTATTTTCTCGTATATATGATATATTATCATTCAGCAAAAGTATATAAATACTTTTATACTTTCATTCTGAATAAATAAAATTGAATGAATGAATGAAATAATTAATTGATAAATAAATATACACTGTGATATTTGGTTCCTGAAAAAGATCTTCTGTACATTATAGATTTAAGGACTTTCACAAAGATTGCATGATGCAAATATATTCTGTATTTATTTCTGTGTTAAGTTTTTGTGTCGCCTCCACGGAGTAGTGGCTACATATAGGGATCACTTCTCCGTCGTCTGTCTGTCCGTCTGTCCGTCACAAAACTTGTCTGGACTACTCCTCATAAACTACTGGTGCAATTTCATCCAAACTTTACAGGAATGATCAGTACCAAGTCTAGTTGTGCATATTGTCAGCATTTTCTGGTTCAATGATTTTTGTCAGAGTTATGGCCCTTTAATAATTTTTAATTTTAAAGTTTGTCCGGACTACTTCTCTTATACCACTAAAGCAATTTCAATGAAACTTTACAGGATTGATCTGTAGCTCAAGTCCTTGCGCATATTGCAAGGGTTTTCCGGTTGAATGATTTTTGGCCGAGTTATGGCCCTTTGATAAAAAGGTGTTTTTTCTGTGTGTTGCCAGATACGCAAATTCTTGTCCGGACTACTCCTCATAAACTACTGGTGCAATTTTATCCAAACTTTACAGGAATGATCAGTACCAAGTCTAGTTGTGCACTGTCTGTCTGTCTGTCCGTCTGTCACAAACTTTGTCCCAACATGAAATTGGCCATTATGAGGCGACACATGTGATTACTGATCGCTCTTGTTTTATATTTTATAGGAAACAGAGTGTTGATGTCTGGACTATTCTTCTGTTGTGAAGTTTAAGATATAATACTTTTATAAAAAAAGACTTACCTATACAGATCAATTGGTAAATATATAATTATGTTAAATACTCTTAGAATGAAACTGATGCATAATTTTTCCTCAATTTAAGTCAGGGGAATTTTTTCCCCAAAATAGCTGGAGAAAGGCACTCTGACTGTATGTATTTATTAGTCCCCTACCGGTTTACCGGAGGGGACTTTAGGTTTACCCTCCGTCCGTCCGTCAGTCTGTCTGTCTGTCCGTCTGTCCGTCCGTCCTTCCGTCTGTCCGTCCGTCAGTCCGTCCGTCCACAAAACTGGATCCCGCGATAACGCAAAAAGTACTGAAGATATTTTAATGAAACTTGATATATGGATAGATGGCAGTATGGAGATTATGCACGTCTTTTTCTTTTCTTCCTATGTTGAAAATTCTGGTTGCTATGGCAACAAATAGACTGAAAATATGGCAAATTTTACACATAACCTGGATCCCGCGATAACGCAAAAAGTACTGAAAATATTTTTATGAAACTTGATATATGGATAGATGGCAGTATGGAGATTATGCACGTTTTTTTCTTTTCTTCCTATGTTGAAAATTCTGGTTGCTATGGCAACAAATAGACTGAAAATATGGCAAATTTTACACATAACCTGGATCCAGTGATAACACAAAAAGTACTGAAAATATGTTTATGAAACTTGACATATGGGTAGATGGCAGTATGGAAATTATGCACATCCTTTTTTATCTTCCTATGTTGAAAATTCTGGTTGCTATGGCAACAAATAGACTGAATTTCAAGATTTCTGATTCTAGTTTTTAAGTTTTTTCACTATAAGTTCTTTATTTCTTAAGGTATTTTCTTCAAACTTTAAATATAAGTTGCTTGTCATCAACCACATCATATGTGACAAGGTTTACAACTCTAGCACAAAATTTATCAGAATTGCCTCCCTTGAACTTAAAATTTTCATGAAAAAAACATTGTTTTTTTTAATAACTGTTTTTTTTAATAACTTCTTTTTCTGAATGTATCTACTTCAAACTTCATATAAATGTTTCTTATTGTCACTCGACATTTGTGAGTGTTCAATACTCTAGCAAGACTATTTCCAGAATTATGCCCCTTTTGAACTTAGACTTTTTTTTGAGAAATTGGTAATTTTTACTCCAACTTCTTCAATCATGATAGGATTTTAAAAATGTTATATATTGATAACAGGGATGTTTAAAAAATAACTTTAGAGTGTCCTTCAGTCCGTCTGTCTGTACATAAAAACTGTTTCCTGTGATCATTTTTAAAGAACTTTTTCAACAAATTTACTTAAAATAGGAACCTAAGTGAATGGCCAATGGCCCTTCAGAATGTTGCTTGGGCTCTTACCGGTAGGGGACTTATGGATTGCTTGCAATACTATGATAATTGCTTGTTTTATATGTTTTACATCGACAACAGTTTTCAAAAATATTGAAGGTATTCACTTGAAACTCAATAGATATATATTTAAGATCTCTTAGTCATTAGAGATTACTGTTCAAAGCACGGATTATGACTGATTTATGGCATTTTATCAACTGAGAAAATTCCTGGTAAAAGTGTTGCATGATTTTAACTTCTTTCAAACAGCAAAACCCACAGATGGTTTAGTAAACAAGTTTCACTACCATTAAAATATATAGTACCAATTTCTTAATTTTTCCATGTTCATATAAGTCAATTTACAAAATGAACATGATAGTTCTATCAGGTAAATCAAATGCTCGCGATTATTGAAATAATTTATTATTACCATTACAATTTATTTGTGAATGTCAGTAATGTATGTGATTTGTGTTGCAATAAGATGATGCAAATAATTTGTTTTTATCCAGCATTTAATCAGCATATGAATATAAAAAATGACTAATGTATTAACTAAACTTAAGCCTGCTTGCACCATGTAACCAAGATGGTCTGCACTGTAATATTATAGTCCGTACAATAATGAATGGTAATATATATATTAAGAAATGGACAAGTTCAGTACAGATATCTAGTATGTTGAGGATTAATACTGAAAACGTTTCTTAAGCAAAAATATAACATTGCATTTCTTTTGCATTATCCATGTTAGTATCTATAGAAATTTAAAGTTAATACATGTAGAATAAGATTACTAGAACTTAGAAAAACATGAAATCATATGAGTTTGTCAAATTAAATTATTTCAGGGTGCCTGCATTGTTTACATAATCTTACTGCAATTTATTGTCACATGAACATTTTATATGCATATTACATGCAAAATTAAAATGTAAAATCTGCCAATAAAAAATAATTGACAAATATTAATTTTTCATTTAAAATTAATGAGGCAAAGTATATTACAATATTTTATTTGAGATGTGTACAAAAAAGTGATAGATATTTTGGTTTTTGTGATATATGTATTATTAAAACATGCTTCACACTATTAGTAATTAATAATATACATAATTCTAATAAATTTAACAAACAGAGAGGGCTTATCATCAAGTGCATTATTACATGATATATGCACAGCATAAAAAAATGCTTACACATCATATGATGTCAGTTATGAAATCAGAACAAATGACGTCAGGGAAATTACTTTTATGCTCAATGTAGTTCAACATATTTTTATCAATTCTCTTTAAATAAGAATGGAAATAGATATTAATTGTTCTTGCATTGTAGTATAAAAATTCATGGTTTATCGTTCAAATGCTTTCCAATTAATCGCTCAGGCATATCGGTCTTTGTGATTATACTCCTGCACATTTTAATTGAAAGCCTGCATTATTTTACAACAATACACTCGAAATGATATCTATTTTCTAAATAGATAATAATAAATGATTACAGATATTAATATATATTTCTTTAATTATCAGAGAGACACAAACTTCTGGGAGGACAGTGAATTGGCATTTGTTTTTCTCAACATGAAAATGGAATGAGACATTCTATTGGACTAATTGATGACACTTTAAACTGGAGGGATCCAGAAATCTACAACAATGAGAAATTCATCAATAGAAGTTCAGTGATAAACTCCAGTAGCAAGTGTTCAAGGAATTCAGAAACAATAATTTAGTGTTCCAACTCCAGTGATAAACTCCAGTAGCAGGTGTTCAAGGAGTTCAGAATCAATAATATAGTGTTCCAACTCCAGTGATAAACTCCAGTAGCAGGTGTTCAAGGAGTTCAGAATCAGTAATATAGTGTTCCAACTCCAGTGATAAACTCCAGTAACAGGTGTTCAAGGAATTCAGAATCAGTTATATCATAGTGTTCCAACTCCAGTGATAAACTCCAGTAGCAGGTGTTCAAGGAATTCAGAATCAGTTATATCATAGTGTTCCAACTCCAGTGATAAACTCCAGTAACAGGTGTTCAAGGAATTCAGAATCAGTTATATCATAGTGTTCCAACTCCAGTGATAAACTCCAGTAACAGGTGTTCAAGGAATTCAGAATCAGTTATATCATAGTGATCCAACTCCAGTGATAAACTCCAGTAACAGGTGTTCAAGGAATTCAGAATCAGTTATATCATAGTGATCCAACTCCAGTGATAAACTCCAGTAACAGGTGTTCAAGGAATTCAGAATCAGTTATTCCCTGCGGTCTGGAGACCGCAGGGTATTGGTACGCGTGTAACTTTTGAGGCACGGAGGAGCACGTGACCTGTTTTCGGTACATGGAGGAGCATGTGATCGGTAAACCGTATATGATTGGTTAATTGACCTTTTCTAAAACCCAGCTAAATACCGTTTGCCGGTACGTTACGGATTTACCTCTAGGGAATGTAGTTCGAATTACACCTAATTAAGAACAAAAAACTTAACGTGATATTTCTAATTTTCTATAATTATTTTACCGTTTTAGGTGGAAGAACTTGAATGATGTGTTTGAAAATTATCAATGATTCTTTAATATCTATCTCAAATTTTACAAACAATAAATTCTTTATACTGAAAACCTACAAGATTAAAATATACGTAGTGACATCTGCCATAATAAATAGAGATATTTTCTGCGTAAACTTGTGTGTTTACTTTTTTTGCTCGGAATTATTCATAAAATGGTAGGCCTTTTTAATAATTTTTGTGTCGCCTCTACGGAGTAGTGGCGACATATAGGGATCACTTCTCCGTCGTCTGTCTGTCCGTCTGTCTGTCTGTCTGTCCGTCTGTCCGTCCGTCCGTCACAAAACTTGTCCGGACTACTCCTCATAAACTACTGGTGCAATTTCATCCAAACTTTACAGGAATGATCAGTACCAAGTCTAGTTGTGCATATTGTCAGGATTTTCCGGTTCAATGATTTTTGTCAGAGTTATGGCCCTTTAATAATTTTTAATTTTAAAGTTTGTCCGGACTACTTCTCTTATACCACTCATGCAATTTCAATGAAACTTTACAGGAATGATCTGTAGCTCAAGTCCTTGCGCATATTGCAAGGGTTTTCCGGTTGAATGATTTTTGGCCGAGTTATGGCCCTTTGATAAAAAGGTTTCTTTTTCTGTGTGTTGCAAGATACACAAAAGCTTGTCCGGACTACTCCTCATAAACTACTGGTGCAATTTCATCCAAACTTTACAGGAATGATCAGTACCAAGTCTAGTTGTGCATATTGTCAGCATTTTCCAGTTCAATGATTTTTGTTTGAGTTATGGCCCTTTAATAATTTTTATTTTTAAAGTTTGTCCAGACTACTTCTCTTATACCACTTATGCAATTTCAATGAAACTTTACAGGATTGATCTGTAGCTCAAGTCCTTGCGCATATTGCACGGGTTTTCCGGTTGAATGATTTTTTGCCGAGTTATGGCCCTTTGATAAAAAGGAGTTTTTTTCTGTGTGTTGCCAGATACGCAAAAGCTTGTCCGAACTACTCCTCATAAACTACTGGTGCAATTTTATCCAAACTTTACAGGAATGATCAGTACAAAGTCTAGTTGTGCACTGTCCGTCTGTCTGTCCGTCTGTCACAAAATTTGTCCCAACATGAAATTGGCTATCATGAGGCGACACATGTGATTACTGATCGCTCTTGTCTTAAATAGTAATAATTGTTTTATGTTCGACCTTCTCAGGTCTTCAATGGTGACCTTCTATATTGATCGATTATTGTCAACTATATTCCTGATACAAACGTTTATTTATCCCCCCAAACAATGTTGAAAATAGTTAAATGAAATATCTTTATATCATTAAAAATGTTACCCGCAGGAAACCATTTTACTTGTATCATAGTGTTCTAACTCCAGCGATAACCTCTAGTAGCACTTGTTCAAGGAATTCAGAATCAATAATATAGTGTTCCAACTCCAGTGATAAACTCCAGTAGCACATGTTCAAGGAATTCAGAATCAGTTATATCATAGTGTTCCAACTCCAGTGATAAACTCCAGTAGCACATGTTCAAGGAATTCAGAATCAATAATATAGTTTTCCAACTCCAGTGATAAACTCCAGTAACAGGTGTTCAAGGAATTCAGAATCAGTTATATCATAGTGTTCCGACTCCAGTGATAAATTCCAGTAGCAGGAGTTCAAGGAATTCAGTATCAATAATATAGTGTTCCAACTCCAGTGATAAACTCCAGTAACAGGTGTTCAAGGAATTCAGAATCAATTATATCATAGTGTTCCAACTCCAGTGATAAACTCCAGTAGCAGGTGTTCAAGGAATTCAGAATCAGTTATATCATAGTGTTCCAACTCCAGTGATAAACTCCAGTAGCAGGTGTTCAAGGAATTCAGAATCAATAATATAGTGTTCCAACTCCAGTGATAAACTCCAGTAGCAGGTGTTCAAGGAATTCAGAATCAATTATATCATAGTGTTCCAACTCCAGTGATAAACTCCAGATGAAGGTGTGCCAAAATTACAACTCAACTGATAGAAATGAGTAGCAGAAAATTATAAGTTTGTACCATGTATGAAGAAAGTTTTGTGAGGGAATATACATGTTTATAATTTATCTGAGAAGCTGAAGTCTGACTCTACAAGATAATTTCTGATTCCATTCCACAGTATCGACACTAGTGTTATATTGATATATATCATATTACATTTGTAAATTATTTAAAAAGATATGTCTTAAAGATCTTTATTATACCTCTGTATTTCAAACCACTTGCCCCTCACCGCTGTGGGTTCGAATCCCGACAGGGACTTTGGATTCTTTCATGTGAGGAAGCTATCCAGCTAGCTTACAGAACGTCGGTGGTTCTACTCAGGTGCCCGTTCGTGCTTGAAATAAAGCTGGAATGTCTCGATATGACCGATAATGTGTCGATGTGACGTAAAACCCCAAACAAACAAACAAACAAACAAAAATACCTCTGTACAACTAAGTTATGCAGCTGGTATACTGGTTTGAGGCTGTGAGTCATTGTGGTTGCCTGGCCATTTATATGTACTTCTGTTTAAATGCTTAACCAATAATAATATAACTGGACAAGAATAATTGTCACAATATCTATTTGCCCAATTTTTACATGCAGTACAGCAGGCAAAGTAGTACTCTTACTCTTAATTAAATTTCTACAATAATAACTTTGGAAATTTTCTGTCATAAAAATATAAAGCTGTACGAAATACAAATATCTATGCCATTTGTTAAGGGGCGTCCGTGGCCAAGTGGTTAAAGTCGTTGACTTCAAACCACTTGCCCCTCACCGCTGTGGGTTCGAATCCCGACAGGGACTTTGGATTCTTTCATGTGAGGAAGCTATCCAGCTAGCTTACGGAACGTCGGTGGTTCTACTCAGGTGCCCGTTCGTGCCTAAAATAATGCACGGAAGGGCACCTGAGGTCTTCCTCCACCAGTAAAGCTGGAACGTCACGATATGACCTTTACTGTGTCGATGTGACGTAAAACCCAAAACAAAAATAAAACAAATGCCATTTACGTTAAATTTTCAAAGTCAAGTCAAATGTTAATTGTTTTATTAGCAAAAACATATACATATTCATTGCCAAGTTACATTTTAGCGGTC